CTAATTTTACGATGTTCATAAAACATTTGATGACTATAATTTCTTCTCGTCATATCTGAAAACACATTACTGAAATGTTAAAATTTTACATTTTTACCCAACGGACTTGAAAAGCTTTCACTGAAAGCTCTCTTGGAATTCTTGCATAAATCTGTACTAAACTAATCTCCATCAGACTGAAACCTAAAAGAACTGTCGTACTAATTTTGTCTCCTAGAATTTGTGTTTAGAGCTCATCCAGTGTTATTCTCTTCAGTTTCGAAATTGAAATCTTGGCCTTTCTTTGAGACTACATTCCTTCACGATGTGATTTCGTTAAGAGTTATAGGAGTTCTCAATGAATTCGGTCGTTGTGAATTGAAAATACGTTTTCCTTTGAATAAAAATGTCGACGTCTACAATTTCCCCTTTGATGTTGGATTTAATGAGAACAAAATGACACACTTGTTCTCTTGTTTTGCGGCTTCAGAAGGAAATTCTTTGTATCGTAATCACCTGACATATTATACTTTATTTTTATTTTAATAGTGTCCATCCAAAGAGAATATAGTAGAAATCGAAAAGAATATGAAACTCGGTGAAACTTGCTGATTTTGTCAAATTAGGGACGATACACAAATTTTCCTGACCACAGTTGTTACAGATGCTGTTTTCTTGAACAATAAGACAAACAAAACATACGGTATAGACATAGTACTGTTTTTTTGTCAAGTTGTCAAGTCTGATTATCTATTTTTATGTGAACTTCACAACAGAGTTTTGATAGAAGACGAGCCGAGTGCCATTCTGAAAGATATTTGTAAATGTATTTATTGTGAGTTAACAGCGAACTCAAAATGTGTGAATATGATGAAAAGAAATACTTTTATCTTCAAGTGCTTTAGAAAGATCTAAAATTTTTATTACAACCATCACAAAATTCAATTCTCCTATCATAGTCATCCTCACTGAGTTTCTGAAGAATACTCATTTTGTAAGGAAAGAACTTTTTTGGTTTTAAAATTTTGTGTATAGAACCAACTGAAATATTTACTAACTTAGCGACTTTCGAAATTGAAGTAGTAGGCTGAATGGCGAATTGGCCTAAAATCTCAATCTGTACGGCTTCCGTAAGAACTTTCGGCTGCTTTACTGCTTTGTTGCACACAGAACCGGTCTCTTCAAATTTTTGAACAAGGTCTAGAACATATCGGTGACTCACATATTGGCCTGCATGCCTTTCATTAAAAACCCGGGCTGTCCTACGAGCACACCTATCTTCAGCACCATAAATAAAAATAATTTCAGTTCTTTCTTGTAAAGTGTACACCATTACGATTTGTATTACTGTCAGTGCAACTGACACCACTGGACAAACAGTTTAAAATCAGGAATAACTAATCCTGATAAATGTTTTCACCATTTAATTGTAACTGACGCCAAGAATCAAATGTGTGCCCTTATCTCACTTCGGTGGTAGCAGTTCCATAAATTAATGCATTTTCTTTTTGCCCTATTTTACGAGAACGAATCAACCAATTTCAGTTTTCTAAAACGGGGTTGAGTGAGGATTTTCAAGATCTTCAAAATTATGTGTTACAAGATAGGGGGTGCCATTTAAAATTATCAAGTGGGGGTAGCTAGGGGTAAGAGGGTTAAACCTAAAATACCACTGGCACTAGTTTTAAACTTCCCCCTCGAAATCTAAATTGACGTGTTTTTTGCCTATGGCAAATTCTGCCTGCTAAACGAAGTACTAGGGGTTGGAAGTTTTGAACTGAAGGCACTGTATATTTTGCTGTAGTTTTCATTGCGAAGCAACTAGTGGGAAACTAGAGCCAACAGATAATGCATTTACGAGTGTGTTCCAACACCAGACAGCGCTATATGGACCCGTCATACATCTCATCAGTGGCGCTAGGCTGAACCAAAAATGTGTTGCTAATCCGCAAATGCATTGCTGGACTCACTGCTTGTTAAAAAAACAAGCCTGAGTGAATAAAGGCGATGACATTTTGCCTTACGAGGATCAAATTTTCTTTCGATTCCATAGATCGCGTCTTCGTGAGAAGAAATGTCATGGTTCTTAATTTACTCAGTAGCACTTTGAATGCCACAATAACAAATCAGTTGTATAATACAAATCAAATATTGATCTTGTTTCTAGTGATGTTAAGGGAATAATTGAGAAATCAATTCAATCAAATGTAACATTACGAATCATTGAAAGTCCAAAGGTAGACTGTTCGTTTGTATTCATATTTTTCTCTTTTAATTGTCTATCATTCTTTGTGAAATATATTCGTTGAGACAATATTTCGCTGTAAGCAGTATATTGCTATCGATCTCGCAATTTAAAATGAAACGACAGTGGCAATATTCTTAAATCAAAGAATTTTTCAATTGACGAATATGCTTGTCAATTTCCGTCCTGTTACTTTGAAGTAATTTCACTACTGTTTTTAATTATATAAAAGAATAAAAAACTGATTATATCCGGATGAAATCTTTCGATATCAAAAATGAAAACTTCCCATAGAATTGAATCTAATAATTTTCAAAAAGGGTGATGCGCTGTATTCATCATTTAACAGCATTATCATTTGAAGTTTATGCTTTAAAAAGGAAGCATCATGTTTTCAACATTTTTTTTTATAATTTTTGAGCCTCACGAGTGACATTTATAGGCTTTTCAAACTTTTTCATTGAAATGAATTACAATATTGGATATTCTAAACAGATAGTCATCACTAACATAACTAATCTTTGTCTTTGGACATATTTTACAAGAAGTGAAACTTCCATCTCTTTCATTCTCTCTGCAATAAGTTGCTACACTATAACTGAATAAGGGTGATGACATTTCCAATTACGAAGACGTCATAAATGGGATCGAGAAAGAGATGAATTTTTGAATATCAATTTCACACGAAGCTTCCCAAGGGTCAGTTGCGAAGCCAAGCTTCTACATCGTCCCCTATACAGTGCCTTCATTTCAAAACTTCCTACCCTTTTAGCAGGGAGAATTTGCCGTAGGCAAAAAACACGTCAATTTAGATATAGAGGGGAAGTTTAAAACCAGTGCCAGTGGTATTTTAGGTTTAACCCCCTTACCCCTAGCTACCCCCACTTGATAATTTCAAATGGCACCTACTATCTTGTAACACATCATTTTAAAGATCTTAAAAATCCTCACTCAACCCCGTTTAGAAAACTGAAATTGGTTGATCCGTTCTCGTAAAATAGGGACTCAGGAGACGAAGTAAACTAATTCTCAAATCCAAAACTGATCCTCTTTTTTTTAACATGCTTGTAATGTATTGGGACTTGATATCAATAATTGAAAACACTAGTGTTGTTAAAAAGGTGTTTATTCACCATCGACTACAAACATACTGCCATACATATGCGTTTTTATCTCCACCTAAAAACTAACGCCTTGCAATAAGAACTACTTTACTGAGTGGTACAATGAATCAATACACTACAACGGTTATATAAGCTTCACTTGTATCTTCGTTTGTTTGTAACCGACTCCTTTGCACTCGATTTTGACTAACTTTAAACAGACAGATGTATTTATTATTAACTTTGTACACTTATCAAGAATCGGTGACAATACAATAATTTCATAAGTTTATCTCATAATCCTGATCAGGATCGCCAGAATTAAATAATGTCTCTGTGTGAGAGCAAGTGAGACATCCACACGTGTGCATGCGTATATATTTGATATTAAAACAAATGGACTTGAAATAGCAAGCCAAACTATAAAGTGGAAAACAAATAATAGTTTAAAAAACTAAAAAACACGCTTTAATAGCAACACAAACTAAAAAATAATTCGAAACTGATTTAAGATTGTGTTCACATCGAAAATAAGTCCTATGGCTTGATGTAACTAATGACTTTTAATAAGTCTGAAATCAGTATAAATCTATTCACAAAAAAATAATGTTTTTGTAAGAAAGCGTGGGGTGCCAGTCTGGCTCCTAATCAAGTATTTATAACAATGAATATTTAGCACTCCACCTCATGTTAATTGAAATGTCACTGCGACACATATGTCACTGTGACCATTTTGTCATTGGTAACATGTGATAATTTTCTTTTCTCCATTATAAAAATTTACTTCTCCATGTGATTAACTTTATGCTTCATTGTATTAACTATTGTTTTGTAGGCCCTCAGCACTTAGGCCATATGTGACCCATTATACATCCTCCCGAGGAGTTGTCCTCTTAGGTCACCAGGAGACATCTCCTTTATATCGACAGGTGTAGGCCAAGACTCTCCGAACAAACACTCTCTTATTGACGAAACTCGGACACTCTTGACAGTTCTATCTTCCTGTTCACACATCCTGCATAGAGGTGTACCCACTATCCCCATATTATGGAGGTCTTTTGTTAATTTTAT